GTTTTCCTTTCGCCATATGTGTGTGCAAAATGACATATATACACCACTATACTGATATGCAGTTTATACCGAACTGTGCTCTACTACAAGTGTACCACACATGCATTCATGTTATTTTCTTCCACTGCGGAGTCCTTATCCCACTACTTTAATGACTGAGCCTAAATAGCAGGATTAGCACATGATGCACAATAACCATCTAGTGTTCATCACTTCTGCACAAGGTTTGGAGAACAATTACCAGCAATTAAACCACCGCCAGTTATTCAAAGAGATAATTATGTCCTTGGTGTATTGCACCAATTAACTACTTTTATTTCAGCCTCCAAACTCTCTGCTTTGCAATGTGTGGCTCGTTTCGAAAAGCTTGAACAACAGGAATTCCTGCACTTATCCCCTTTAAATGCAGATAAGTACACGGGAATATGATAGCACAGAAACCCAAAAGCATCCTCTTATCTATGAAAGGATTTTGTTGATTTTGTTAGTGTGCCATTATGTTGTTGTCTAATTATGATGATTATGTTGTCCCAGGAAAAAACAAAAAAACATCAATGAATTGACATTTTATGTTTATCATCCCAAATGAATCCTCAATTTTTACAAAGCAAGTTTAAGGGCATCTGGTCCATCTTGGTTTGAATCCACTTTGCGATGTTACGTAACGCATGCACAGAATATCCATTCTAGTTTGATCATTAGATTTTCGTGTTGTTTTTTCAGCGGACTCAGGCGTAGATCTTTTCTCTTTCAATCAGAAAGACGGTGCGGCTGTGTAAACTTAGCAGAAATGTGTATGCGCCCCTCAGGGAAGATGCCCATACCTCTGATGACCTCAATACAATTTCCACTCCCATCCCACAGACAAAGATCTGACCTTTGTCCTCACAACAACAACAAAGAGATTCCAATAGAATTTCAACTCTTGCTCAAGTGCATTCGTGGGTGACACATTTGACATTTTTTTGCAAAGATCGGAGACCAGCTGCAATGTTTTATTTTATAATGCACTTGCAGAATTTCTTTTACTGGAGTATTTTCTTTTGGACAAGAACGCATGTTATGGGTCTTCACTGGACGCGTGATACTTGCACAAACCTTTTTCTTTTCTCTGTAGGCCTGCAGGGTATAATGGCTAACTCCAAATACCTGTGTCAATTGTAAGTAATCTATTAAACCATGGAGCCCACAGACTATTTCCTCTGTGCCTCAAATCCTCCGGTTAATGTGATAGCTACAGCAAAAGCAGCAGAACCTTTCACCTCCTGTTCTTTACTTCTCTGCCTCTACAGCTCTGCCTCTCACATGTATAGCACATCTATATGTATGCATGATGCCAATAAAATGAGTTCAAAGCCCAACCATATTCTGGATCTGGTGAAATTAAGCATTTAAAAGACTCTTCAGGCCCCAAACAGTAATGCGCCTCTCATGGATTTCATGGATTTATGTACGGACTGGCTGAGTCCCACTGTTTGCAGGGACTAGTTTGTTGCTGAGGATTTGCATGAGGGTTTATATGCCCACTCCCCGCAGTTCCAGCCAGCGGTCAGAGGCAGCGATGCGTTCAGAGTCAGCTCCCGTACTCTGGGCAGGTTCTGACACGCTGTCACCTTGGCTACTGCTGCCGGGGTGAGCAGCCTGCTGGGCTAGCTGACCCGTCCGGGCCTCGTGCCACTGGCTTGCAGCAGGTGTATGACAGAGGTGCCCTGCCCACTGAATGAGTGCTTCAATAACTCCACTAGACTCTCTCTATCCACAGGTTTATAAAGCCAAAGAGTTCATTTTCTGAATTTCTGGATAAAATCTTTTATATATGATATAAATCTATAATCTCTTGATATTCTGAATCTCTTTAAAATAAGAAAGATTTTCATTGATCTTTAAATTGAAAGCCTAATTTTTCTTCATTTTACCCTCTCATCATAGTACATATTTTTGGAAATTCGTTTTTTTTTTCTTCTTCTTTTAAAAGAAAATCAGCACTGCACACACTGCACACATTTTTGTCAATATCAGGCGATTTCAAATCATTTTATTTTATAGACATACTGGTGTAAAACAGTAAACTAACTGTCTGCTGAGAGATTATTTATGTCCAAAAGATGGCGCTAAAGAAATAACAGCAGTACTTTACACGTCTAAAGTCCTTATATAATACATCTTATTTTATTATGTTATTTATTATCTATATGAAAAAAAGTCCATTGAATAATATTTGATGAACTACGTTGTCTTTTCACACTAAAATGAAAACTCATGAGTCCAGGGTTTAAAGTATAAAGAGGAATTAACGTCACTCTCCTTCTGAACCGGGAGTTTAAGTGTTTTAAATAAGAACCAAACGAAGAAGCGAAAAAAAATGAAGGAAAAAAAAATAAATAAACACCTACTTTTCGGTTTGGGTTGGTTTAGTTTAATATGGACTTAAAAAGTGAGTGGTAAACAGGGTTAATTGACTTTAAAAGAAAGTAAGAAAAAAAAATGCTTTTAAGAAGTTTAAGAACAATTTCAAACACAATTTATGGACTGTTTGATTCTCTGTTATTTTGGCAAAAAGTGCTAGAAAATAGTTCGCCTATATTACTTATAGAGTTATTACAGTATCCTAGTAACTACTTATTACTTTAACAACAGCAACCAACAACAATAACAACAGTTATAATAATAATAACAACCGCATGCTTTTATTATTGTTGTTGTTATTATTGTTGTGGTTGAGTAATTATTATTATTATTGTTATTATTATTATTATTATTATTATTATTATTATTTTCGTTGTTGTAGTGTTACTATTATTATTGTCATTATAAAGCACTCAGACTTAGTGACCTGCGTTTGTCTTTGTGAGGATCTTCGTTCATTGGTTAATTTCACTGAGCTGCTGCTGCTGCTGCGCGCGCGGGTGCAGGTTGGGTTTGGTTGCCACGCAACCGGTGGGTAGTAAATCATCCGCGAAATTTAAATCTGGGGGTGTGTGTGTGGTGGTGGCTGAGTGGGGGGCGGGGGGGGTAACAGTCAGCCGAAGACAAAAGTTCTTCAAGAAGAAAAAGAAGAAGAAAACAATAATCCACCGCAGACTGGAGTTCAGCTGCAGCTCCTCTGAGCTGTTCTCCTACATCCTGATAATAATCTGATTGTGCACTGAGGGCGAGCTGTGTGTGACTGTTCTCAGTGTTTCTGCTTCACCCCGAGTCTGTCTGATCTGATTCCACACAACAGCACAGCTGACCCACTGAGCGGGGAGCGGAGCAGCTCACGGGCCGCGGCAGCAGCGCTGGATTCGGGTTGAGGGCCGCTGAGTGTCGGCGCTCCTGCTCGCTCCCACACTGCAATCTGCTGTAGGATCTCGGCCTGCTGTACTCGGCGCGCTACGTGGCCTGAATACGAACCCGCACGCAGCGGGCACATGACGTCACCGCGTCGTGAAGGAACGCGCGTGCTTTTATTCTGCTGCAGCGCGTTAACGCGCGCGCGCACACTAAACAGGCCGTACAGATCAAAGAGACACGGGGAGAGCAAAAACACCGAGAACAGTCACAGCTCGCCCTCAGCGCACCATCAGATTATTTCAGGATGTAGGAAAACAGCTCAGCACCAGATAAACTCAACATTACCAGATAAACTGAACACGCCGCTTCAGTGAAACCGTTAGACAGTGTTTACGTGAATCTCTGCGGTTAGAATCGTTGACGAACGCAAACGTAACTAAATTCTGAATTAAATAACATGAAAAACTAAATAAATTAGACTGAAGATCGTAAAGTAAGGAGGCTGTTGGGTGGTGGAGGTGGAGGAGTGACCTACACGACACAGCAGCAGTAGCTTATAATGACTGGATTACTTAATTCTGTACGGCAACACGGTTTATTCTTTCTACACGACAATAATAAATAACAACAGACGTCGTTTTTCCTTGTGAAATAAATTGATCTAAAGCATGTTCTCCTTTACATTAGATCAGCTCTGAAGTTTAAGTGCAGAATCAGGACTAAGGCTGGAGGATGTGTATTCGTTGGTCACTCTGTAAACATTATTACTCTAATAAATAATGTGGCACAGTTTGTGTAGTGATTTTGATTGAGCCCCAGAAATGCATAAATAACAAGATAAATCAAAAAAAGAAATAAATAAAGGGGAAAAAGAAAAATACAAAAAACAGCAACATCGCGCAATGTGCTTTCATTTAAGCATGGGCTATTTTTGAAAATGTTTTAAATATAAATGCAGTGGTTCGTTTTCCTCTTGTGTCTCCTAACTTTATCTTTTAATTTTCTCGTTTTATTTGAATTCTTGAATTGCATTCTTGTGATATTTTGAAATTTTTCTAGGTCAAAGGTCAACGATCCCGAGAAAACGCACCATGAAAAAAATATTTTAATTTACTTTAAAAATAAATACGACAAGTTATTGATTTCTATACTGTCTAAATCGAATTAATCGTTTATATTCGCTCCATGATTTTTTTTTTCTCTTTTTTTTCTTTCTTTTTGCGTCTCGAGTGAAATGAAACAACACAGGGCTGCGGGTCAGATCTATCAAATTTATTATTCTCAATCACCTCTGACTGACTCAATACTGAACTTAAATAACAACCACAGAAATTAAAATCAAATAAAATAAAAAAATGTTTTGACAATGATTTGTCGGCCTATCAGATTTATCAATGTGCTGTTCTGTAGGCAAATTTAATAACAATTGTGATAGCCTACTAAGTGTATAGAATATCATCCAGAATTAAAAGAGGAGAGGGAAACGATGCACATGGAGATGCTACGTCTAAGAGAAAGATCACAGCTCGCCCACAGTTCGGGGAACTTCCGAAAATATTCCAAAGTGGGATTTTAGTGAAAAATATAAAGCAAGTCAATCACCACTGAGAATTCATATTGCCAAATTTACACAGACTTATCAAAATTCGCCAAAACTACTGCGTGGAAATAGCAGTAAGGAAAAGGGACAAGAGTCCACGATTATTCAGCCAAAAACATGGAACTAAATAAAATAACCAACAAAAAAGCAAATCAAATGGAAAACAAATGAAGGAGGGGGGAGTGTTCACAAGAGAGAAGGCTGAAAGATGAATAAGTGCAGTTTTAGAATCCTTGTTTTCCCCCATAGTGTTTCCCTGTGTGAAAACTATTCACAGAAGTGCGGTCCACAAAAAAGAGTCTGTAATAGAAAAGCTGAAGTTTGCAGCACAGAGTCTTCGGGAAGTGGACAGGAGCCAATACTCGAGGCAATAAGACAATTCCCTTTTGTTAACACGAATAACGTTATTCCTCTGTGTGAAACGGCGATGCGTCCTGGAGCTCGTTTGTCTTCACCGAGGGTCCATGTCTGACTTTTTTCAAATTTCTCTGGAGGGCCATCCATAAAAAAAAATAATAAAAAAAAATAAAACTACTGTCGCGTTTGGTTGGAGTGTCAATGGGCCAGAACCACCTGGCGATAGGAGCACGAAGAGATCCCCACCTGGTCCTCCGGTTCACCTTTCAAACTTGCATCTTTTAAGCAGTCTATCAGAAAACTCTCCTGCAAGACAGAGCAGAGACAGTCATTTAGAGTTAGGGACATGGGAGGGCAGTAGGCAAATAAAGAAGAGTTGCTAGGGTGACTTTTTGAGCTTTCCTTCTCCTAAACGCACACATCTGCTGCAGTGCAATTCACTCATACTGGTAATAAATGATGTCTTGTCGGTCCAGTTAACTGAACTGTACATGAAATGCGAGCTCTACGTCTCAGTGAACATACGTTTGCAGTCCATGGACGGAGGCGGTGTGTCTGCACTCACGTTGCCGGCCTGAGAGTACACGTCCTCCGGGCTCTGGCCAACCCCGGGTGGCGTCATCCTTTTCTCCTTCTGCCTGCGGTTGCAGAACCACACCCGAACGACCTCCTTCTCCAGCTGCAGGTTGTCCGCCAGGGAGGAGATCTCCTGCGCTGAGGGCTTGGGACACTTCAGAAAGTGGCTCTCCAGGGCCCCCTTCACGCTCACCTCAATGGAGGTGCGCTTCTTGCGCTTCCTGCCCTGCGCTGCGATCTTGTCAATGCTGGTGGGGCTGCCTGTGGTCGAGTCAGCCTCCTCGAGCCACTTGTTCAAGAGTGGCTTCAGCTTGCACATGTTTTTGAAGCTCAGCTGCAGCGCCTCGAACCGACAGATGGTGGTCTGCGAGAAGACGTTGCCGTAGAGGGTCCCCAGGGCTAAGCCGACGTCGGCCTGCGTGAAGCCGAGCTTTATCCGACGCTGCTTGAACTGTTTGGCGAACTGCTCCAGGTCGTCGGAGGTCGGCGTGTCCTCATCGGAGTGCGAGTCGTGGCTGCTGACGCCGCCGTGGTGCTGCTGGTGATGGTGGTGTGGGTGTTGGTGCTGGTGGTGGTGGTGATGGTGGTGATGGTGGTGGTCCATCTCTGGCGAATCGCCCCGCATCAACCCAGGGTGGACCAGGCTCCCAGTGGGGTTTAGCATCCCGTTGACAGTGAACCCACTTGGCTGGGAGTAAATGAGGGACTGCTGAGACTGCTGCTGCGCCCCGGTGATGGTGCTGATGTGAGCTGCAGTCGTGCCACCCCAAGCGCTTTGGTGGGACTGGTGAGCGCCTATGTGTGGAGGGCGGTGGTGCAGCGCAGTGCCCGAATGCAGGTCTTCTCTATTGGAACCACCCTTGACGTCCTGTTGTTGGGGGCTGCCTGCCATCCCAGCAGGGCTGGAGGACCAAGGAGAGCCAGCTTCGGCTGCAGCGGCGGCGGCTGCAGCTGCAGCGGCGGCGGCGGCATGTGGCAGTGAGGTTACCCACTGGTGGGCATGGCTTAGCATGTGGCCCCCATTGCTGGCTGCAATGCTCCCTTGCATAAAGTCACTCTGCACCATCTTGGCCGCAGGGTCTCCTCTGTATCCACCTGACACCGAAGTCACGGCACCACTTCCCGGCTGCATGCCACCACCTCCGGACTCCGAGGGCACAATGGAGCCTGATGAGAGAACACTGTTGCTAGCCAGGTAGGGATTGGAAGCCGCCGTGGCCATCCCCCCTCACCACTTTGTACCAGTCTACTTATTATTCCCCCTCCCCGTATGCTGTCGTAACTTTTTTTCCACCCCTGGAAGGGACGCTCTAGTTCATGAATTATTCAAACTGGGAAAACTATGCTCGGTATTTTGGTTTGATCCACTGAACGGTAATCAGAAATATCCATCAAATTTTACAGAGGAAATGGACTTTTGAAAGTAGAAATCCACATTTCCCGGCGAAATCGCTTTTACATCTGCTCAACTCTGCATTCCGTCCGTGAAGTCATAACGTCCTTTTCAGAAAACTGCAACAGCAAGAAAAACACAACACAAAAATGAGCACGCGGGTGAAAAGTCTCACGTCCTGGACGTTCAAGGTGACGGTTTGGTAAATCCCACATGGAGGCACATCATCGACAGCTCTCTTCTTTTTTTTCCTCAAGGAGACATCAGGGCGATTTTTTCCTTTGTAAACTTCCCGCTCGTCCTGTGAGCTGCCTCGGCCTCCGCTCCGCTCACTCTGACTCGCTCCTCGTGTTTTATTTCATCATGTTCTCTCTCACAACTTCCATCTGCCCGCAGCTTCACGCGACTCTGACTACAGATCTGAAGCAAGTTTAGAGAGTCAAAAGGCGCGGATGATGAAGAATCCCACTCTCTCTCTCCTCTCACTCTCACTCTCTATCTCTCTCGCGCGCGCTCTCCCCTCTCGTCCTCTGACAGTTTTATCCGTTCCTGCCTCGGTGCCTCCGACTACGCCAATGTTTACGTTCAGTCGGGGCGTGCGCAAAACCTTCCGCAGCTCTCAGCCAATCGCGGCGCCGAATGCCACGCAAGGTGGACGCTCATTGGCTGCGAGTCGCGCGCGTGGCAGATCTCCGCTCTCGTCTTTAAGACGCGGAGCAGCAGCAGCGTCTCTTCACAGCGACTCCTGAACGCAGCTCTGAGCTGCACTGGCAGCGCGATGTGACGCTGGGGCGGTATGGAGGAGAGGGTGTTTGGGGCTGGGGAGATGGGGCTATCACTGAAGGGGCCGCTGCTAAACTCTGAACTTTAGCGCTCAGGATGGACCGAGTTTGTGTGTGTTGTTAGGTTTTGGGTCTACGCTGGTTCTGGTTTTGGTCGAAGGACTAAAGCTAGAACTCGCTTATACACGACGAAGACTTGCTTAACTGATTAATAAAAAAAAGAAAGAAAAAAAGAAAAGTACATGAATGAATTCACAGACTGGTTTGATCAGACGTGTGGTTTAATAACCGCTGTTCATTCTATGATTGCAGTTGTTTCTCTTTGCACCAAAAATACTGATTAAACAGTAAAAAAGTAAACACTGAAAATAAACAGGTCAAATAATTACTTAACTGAAGCAGTTTCGAGCAGAGGTGCTCTGAAGACTACAGTACAACACACGCGTGTTTATTTAATCGAATTTATTCTTTATAGCCTAAATGACACCGCTTTTCATTCAGTTTTATACTTTCAACTAAAGCGTACAATCTGTGTAATTTAGCCGCGCAGCATTGCTCCTCCTGGTTATTTAATGAGAGATTATGTTTGTTATCCTAATTTTACATTTTAAACGAGTAAACATTTTAACTTGCAGATTAAAGTGTTATTTCAGTCCATCGCCCTGATTACAATGAATTATTTCTATAATGAATTATGAATTGTGAACTCTATCTGTTATGACATCCACTCACTACTAAAGCTACTTTTTACGAATTAAGTAAATTTTTCTACAGTAATTTTTTACAGTAGGTCCGAGGCTCGTGGCGGCTCTTCACATCGTTCATCTCTAAACCTGCACTAATTCCGTAACGTTTTCATCTCACACAGCGTTTAATCAGACTTCGACACGAAATTGTGAAGGTAACAAACAGCGTGTCTCAGAGTGAACGACAGAGTTGAAAAGCGGGTCAATTCCTATTCCAATACATTTAAAAAAGTAAAATGGAGGTGATTGATCTGAATGATTCGCGTGCTTGTTTATTTGTTTGTAGATGTTTCTGTAGGATTTCCTCCTCTACCATGTTGTGCTCCATTGTTTCCAGAGCAGCTCGGAGAGAGGGACTCTCCTGCATAACAACCAACTAACAGTTAGTGCTGATTTCCATTAGCATAAATTTTCATCTGTTTAAGGGAAAATAATAGCAGAGCGGAGGAGAGCGGGACTCAGTCGGTTTGAGAGCAGAGAGCAGAGCTGGAGAGCGGAGCAAAGTGCGCAGAGCCCGGACTCACTGCAGGAGGAGGACAGGAGGCCGAGAGCACCAGCACCTACAGCCAGCCAACCTCTCTCTCTCTCTCTCTCTCTCTCTCTCTCTCTCTAATAAGGTGAGTGATTTAAGGGTAAACGGTAGACGAAAATGAAACTAACCTACCTTGATGAGCGCGAGCTTTGTGGCGGTTCTGTTCTTTTATACAGTAGATAAATCGATCACCTACCAGGACCGTTCACTGAAAACCCAGGACTGTTCGCATAATGCAGGTCAGAAGCAGGTTAGAGGACAGTGGACCGGTCCTGCTGCCGAACACGCACTAAAATAAGCTTTGCGAGATTTTCACAGACCTCGTGCCTCTCCTCTGAAGCCCCCTCAGGATGGTCTACTCGGGGCTGTTTGCTCGCCGCTGTGAAGGAGAAGTTAGAGGCGTCCGGCCCGCGGTGTGAGTGTGAGAACCTCATGAAGAACTGCTGTTTAGCTGCTGGAGAAATCCTCGCTAAAACTTCTCTGAGGTTTTTATTAGAGCGCGAGAGCGGCCTGCTAATTTAGTTCGGCTGAACTCGGTAATGTCCGTCAATGTAACATTTACTTTGGGAAATGCGTGCTCTGAGTCCGCCTGCGCACAAATCTGAGGAAATGTTTCAATTCAGTGAATTTTTATAGCTTAATTTATTATGTTGAATTGAGCTTTTTCGTCAAATAGGGCTGATTTTTTTTTTACCTAAACAGTAGAAAACAGTAAAAAAAAAAAATGCAAATTTGATTGTGAATAAAAGTGTGAAAATGACGTGCAGTCAAAACTCCCAACGGGTACTGATAGATGTTTGTGTAAGGTGTAGCTATGCAACATGTTATCACTTTAAACAAGTCAGAACAAGTTCTGTGGAGTTTCCCTCTCCAAACTAAATATAATTATCGGATATGAACGGGTTAATCAGCTGTGTAGGACTGTTTGAGCCTTGCTCTCATATAGCACACTTTACAGAGTGCAAAGGTAATTTTATATAGTACTCTTGCATATTGCATTCTTACATAGTGTTTGACCATAAAGATAAGGCTAAAATAACATTTATTTATTTATGTATGTATGTATGTGTGTATGTATGTATGTCGTTAGTTAGTTAGTTGTGTGAACTGAAACTTTGGTCGTTGTACTGAATGCTACAAAGTGCCCCTCTATTTTATCCAGCTAGACTGTCCTATACTTTAACTTCGTTTACAGTATCTGGTAATTAAAGTGAGGACATATCCTTACACGTGTTCACTCAGCCTCCATCGTGCTGATGAGCAGAACATTCAGAATAGGCATATGTCCAGCTGTGCTGTGTGGCCAAACCACAGCCTTCCAGAGAGTCCCCCGTTGATCATTTCTCCCACGTTATTAAGTTAATGTCTGGAAAACCTGATACATTCAGAGCGGTGCAGTTCTACTTGTCTGTACAAAGCTGTCCAAACTGAGACGGAGAACAGCCATCTCTATTTACATAACCGTGAACTGCTTGGTGTGCCGTCACACTATGTATACATGGTGCTCTATAGCAGCTTATAGCCTCACACATGTAATAGTAACACCAGATATGGGAATCAGTGAGGCAGCATCATTTCAGCACGGCTAATAACACGCAGACTGAAACGCTTCAACGCTGCTACTGATCACTAAAATAAGTACACAAGGTGGGATTTGATTTCTAGAGGTGTGACTTAAGTGCTGTTGCTTGTTTTATGTGTCCATGTTCTTCCCCAATGATTCTTTCTGCACGGCCTCCTCCTCCAGACACACACATATACACACACATACATACACACACACACATACACACACCTATTTCACCCATTCTGTGGGATTACATTAATCAAAGTACATATTTCCCAAGGGAGTCTACTCATGGATCACAGCAAATCCAAGCGAAATTGAATCACACATAGGAGTAGCTCTGTAACTCAGCCCTTATTTTCTATACATGTTTTGGGATATCTCCACTGTATGAAAGCAAGAAGAATTCAGGATATAGTATAAATAAACAAAACAAAATCTCTCTCCCTCTTGTTCTCCTGCTCTCTCTCTCTCTCTGTCTCCCTCTCTGTCTCTCTCTCTCTCTCTCTCTCTCTCTCTCTATGTATGTATGTGTAAATATATATATATATATATGTACACACACACACATATGTGTATATGTGTGTGTGTAACTTGTGCTAACTCTAACCCTAGACTATGCATGGCTAGTGGTACTATAACACTATAACAGCAACAGACAGGAAAACTTGCTCCTCATATCAGACTATACAGAACATGCAAAACATTTTCTCTGTTGTGAGGTGGAGCGAGTGTTGTGGAATGTTGTGAGATGTTTGAATTACATATACAATAAACCACATACAGTACTGTGCAGATATCAGATACCACCCTTTTTATTTTTTATAATTTCCAAAACAGTCATTAAGTATAGGTTATTCATTTATTAGCACATTGACTAAAGCAGATATTTTTTCGGAAAATGACACAGAAGCCTCAACACCTAAATATAATATCATCTTTTCAGTATTTAGTGTGTTTGTTCTTTTTTAGGAGACTCGCTTTCAGTTTTTCAAAAAAATATGCAGGGATATGTCTCCATACCGCAAACATTCAGTCTTAGAAGTTGGTTTCATTTTTTACCTGCTTCTGTTTGTTGCATGCAGCAGCTTCTATGATTTGCAATTTTGTCTATTTTCTTTTCTTTTCTTCTCTACACATCCTTTCAGACCGAAAGCAGTGAGTTTTCTTCTCACAGTCGTCTCACTTGTCTGACGGTGACAGTTTTGATAGTCTACCATGTCATTTTCGGTTGTTAGTCCCATTTTGTCTATATCTTTTATAATTTTTTAACCGGTTTTGGAAACCTCTTCAGTTATTTTGCTTTGACTTCCTTCTGCAAGTAAATTGTCTTATATGTAATCAACTTAGAATTATAACTTGTACATAATGGCCATCTGACTGGAAATGAAATAAGTGAAGGCTGGTTTCTGACTTTTGCACAGTTTACTATATATTTCTAGTTTATTGCGACGCTAGGAAAAGTTTTGATTGTGCAGTGTTCTCTTCCTTAAGTGATTACAATTCAAATCTCTTTCTCTCTTGCAGGTGAGAGCCAGTGCTTCTTCCAAACACACAAGGCCTTCTTTCAAAGAAAGCTCCTTTTACAGAGGCAGGATGGCTAGGATTATCTTTCCTTTTGTCCTCCTCTCTTCCTCTCTCCTTCACAGCACCGGCTCACTACCCCGCTACTCCATGTCAGACATTAAAGCCCCAGTGAGGAGCAGCACCTAGGACACCTCTGAAACTAGCTGTAGAGTTTACTGACAGAGAGCTTGGTACCTTTGTATTGTGGTCATGTTCAACAGCCTTTGTTGATGCTGTAGCAAAAAACAACTGCCCTGCCAGGTGTATATTAGAGCTTTAAAGAAATTTCTGCAACTCATTTTGTGAGCAGTGCAGTTGTTAATATTTAACAGCAATTTGCAGCAA